ACCTTAACCAAAATCAAAGTAGACTATCACTCACCCACACCAGATGGAAAACTCTACAGACTGTCGGTTCACACCCCATCACAAGCCAGCAAAACATCCACGAAACAAAGAAAGGTCTGTCACAGCCAAAAAATACACTCCAGACACAAACGCGGTTCCGGCTTGCAATGATGGTTTCGTCCAAGGAAGACCGATCCTCCCGCCGCCTCAACCTCAGCATACGAATGGGCAGCAAGTACATGGTCAGCAAGTGCAACGCTTTGATCCTCTACCTCCACCTCCATTGCTTCAAGCTCCACAGCCCACGCCTATTTCTTCTAATGCTATCGTTCCCTACCAGCCTCCTGCGCAGAATGCAATTGTTCCCTATCAGCCGCCGCGTGGCGCTCCGATTGGGAATGGGGCACGTGGCTAGAACAATAGGCCACGGGATGGGGGAGGAGAGAGTGAGAGATTGATGATTCTGAGAGAAATTTGGAACGAAAGGCGAGAGGAAAGGGAAAGAAGGCGTGAAGAGGAGGATCGAAGGATGAGAGAGGAGCAAGCAAGGTTAGCTCGGGAAGAGGAACAGAGAAGACTGGAACAAGAGGAGAAACGGGAGGCTGATCGTGAAGCTCGATTGGCCCGTATTCTCCGTGAGCAGATGGAGGATATGGAGAAGAAGAAGAAGGAGGGATCTGCAGATTTAAGCAAGAAGAATTGGGATAGAATTGATCCACCGCCGAAAGAGGGGGATAAGAGCGAAGTCGGTGAAAGTTCGGATAGTAAGAAACGGGATCAAGACACCATGGCGGGAGATTCTGCTAACCAGCAACATGGGATTGGTAGACCTCGCGTTGAGAACGCCGCCTCCCCGTTGGATGCAGGGCTCCTCATGATGGATATTGACACAGTAAGGAGGGCTCAAGAAGCACAAGCTGCAATGTTCCATCAGATGCTGACGTGTCTGGAGGCTATCAGGCAGCAGGGTGCGGGATCAGCACCTACGGTTGCTACCAGTTCACAGGATCCAGCAGTAGCTGCTGGGGTCCAACCCGGTGCCAATCCTCCTGCCCCTCCCACCTACCAACACGCTCATCCTCCACCTCCTGCGCAAGCCCCTGCCCCTGTTCCGACTGAACCGCCAACTCCTCAACCAACTAATCCGCCGCCCCCTCCTCCTCCTGCACAGATGCCTGAGACTCCGGCTCCGACTCGGCCTGTGCCCAGCCACAACGTGCCTGCTACTGAACCAGGTCGTTCTGGTGTGGATGGTACCCCTTCAGGGGGTGGTTTCTCGGCCAGGCTGGCCGGGATGTTCGCCTCAGTGGCTGGTAATGGCACGAGGAGGCGTACCAGTGGCATCTCCATTAATGAACCCAATAGCCAAGGGCTGGGTTTTGATCGCATCAACTGCGGCAAGAAGGCTGCGGATGCGGGACCTGGGAAGGAGGGGAAAAAGAAGTACGTGGAGGATTTGACCGAAGTGTTGTTCAACAAGACCAAGCATGAACTCGACGAGCTCTGCAAAAAGGATAAGATTAAATATGTCAACAAAAAGATCACGTCTGCGGCATTGGCTCGGCTCCGAGGTATTGAAGCTTCTGGCGAAGGATCCGAGGAGGACGAATCTGAGGAGGATTCTCAAGAAGAGAACCCCTCCTAATTAGTCTTTCAATGCCACCTCCGCTTGGCTTGAACTGGAAAAAGTAAGATGTGAAAGGAAAATCGGGGGATGGCGGGGGTACGAAGCATTTTCTGTCAACCACTTGATGCATTTTTTGGTTCTTTTTTTGGCTTTGACTCAGCAGTTGGCCTGGGCAGGGAAGTTTGTAAACGACTGGCGATTGCTGCTTTTGGAGGGTAAACAGTTATGTGAATACGAGGGTCCTTGTGTTTACCTACTAATCTCTCCTTGGTACCGTGCCACCTACATTGGGTCGACTACCAGGTCCTTACAAGTAAGATGGGAGGAACATGTAAGCAGGGCGATGCGGTCGGGTGATGGCAGGAATCATAGGTTACGTCGGTGGCTCCAACGTAGGCACTTGTCTAGCTATGTTGCTATCCCTATTGCTTTTCCAGCAGGGGATGAGATCAGGGATGTAGAGAGCATGCTGATATCGAAATGGTCACCTGTCCTCAACTGTGTCAAGAAAAAGAAACGGCATTGTCATAGGAAAGGGCGCAGGGAACGCCTGTCCTATCTCCGGAGTCAGACCAACAAGGAAATTAAAGACTTTCGATCTGGGAAAATGATAAAATGAGACTCTTCATCTGTTACTCTCCCTGTACCTGACCCACGGCCCTCCTCTGCGACCTCTTTCTCCTTGATCAGATTGCTTAATGAGCTGGTAGACACTGAAGTAACTCAAACCGTTGCCACAAGTTACGGGGGTGATTTGTTTTTTGACTCTTGGGGATGTTTGCGTCAAAAATTTGGATGGTCTGTTGTGAAATCAGTCTTGCAAATTCACACTCAAACATGCATGCAACAGATGAGAATAACTTGGCGCTGTGCACCCAACTCAAACTCGGAGATATGGTAGCTTGCAACTCAACTCAAATCCAA